CGTTTATAAACATTTTTTATTTATATTACTGAAGAAGTATTTGAACTTGTGGTTTTCTCCGGCCTCCAAAATCTTTCCCATTCCGTGGTCTTACTAATTAAAATTGCTTGTTCGAATTTGTTTTTATCATTAATCGTATTTTTCAGTCTCTCAACTATGTTTTACCCCCTACTTACCGGCGAGTCCCTCAAGTTTACTGAAATACCTGCAAACATCACTATTCAAAGTGAATTTCTCGGGGTCTCTTCCAAAGTCTGAAAAAAGATCTACGCAGTTCACTCTTATGCAGTTATCCCTCCCCTGGCCCCACTGACTTGGTGGACGTCACAAACGTTATGGATGAAATTTGCTCGCGAAAGGCGTTCAACGATCAAATCTGTGCAGTTTTCATTAAGAGCACCTGTTCAGAGACGAGCAGTTGTTATCAGTGTTTCATCTATAGCCATGCACGCACGGATCAGTTAAGGACGGAACGTGTTTAAGCATAAATATTCCGTCGTCAGGGGTCACTGTATTTGGTTGGGAGAAATATTGATGGGGAAGCGATGTATTGCGTTTCATACGGCTACAGAAAACAACACCTCCACAGTCAAGTTGTATGTAATGTGTCACGTTTGTGATTGATCTAAATTTTCTCTTTGATCTTATTTTCAATCTTTCCTGTCTTTCTCTTACTGCTTCATCCAGTTAGGCAGCCAAAAGAAAGCAACAAAAACCGGCGCGCGGTAATGAATGGTTAATGGTTGTACAAACTGGAACTGAACTGAAACTGTAATGATAGTTGAATATCGAAGGAAAACCTTTCTTCGTATACATATAATTTGGTGTGGAAAAATCCAAGGCCGATCGCTTCTGCATTGGCTCGGGTGTGGAGAAACAATGACTGAATAGGTGAAGTGGTTTTCGTTGGATAATTCTGATATCTGGTTCAGGCTTCAATTACCGATCTTTTTTCTGCTGCGTGAGGGAGAATAGCGCTTCATGTGATCAGCTTTCTCTTACGCTGAAGCCCACGTGAACAGATTCTCAAATTGCCTCTGCTGAGGAAGTCCTATTCACTGTCTTCACGTGGAGGAGGTGTTTTCTCACTAAGACGAGAGGACGGAAATCCAGTATCCGAAGCTATAACCGGGTTGGTGAACCACTGACAGTTTACCTATGGAAGTTGGTCAAAACCCCTTACGTCATACCAACCATAAAGAGGCGTACGATGATATACACACATTCCTGATTGTGTCAGTAGTCACTGGCTCGCTTGGGCATCTTGGACGTTTGACCCTGTTCCAAGGGCGTATGACCCGATGAACTGAACACCGGACCCCAATAGATTACAGCTTTCACATCCTCGAGATAGGTTCCAGAATCGTCGCTAACTATTTGACATTTTCATGGTCCGGAAAACGAATCATTTACAGGATTGGTAGCAAAGTTTAGTCTGTTTTTTGGTACGGTGTTTTCTCCTTTTTTCATGAACTAGCGTCTTTCGGGTTTGTGCTATCGTTTATCAGCATTTCTGTGTTCGTATTCAATCATTCATTCCCTTGTGTTACTCTTGTGTGTCATTTTTTGTTGAAAGCCAGACGTTTCGCTTTCATGTGATGAATTATTTTACAAGAAAATCATATGTGATCTGTTTGGCTGGTCCCGGATACCACAATATATCGTAGTCTGAAGGCCGACCTCTCCATTGTGTCAATCTCGTCAGTAAAGTCCTATCTGTCTTTCATCCGCTTTCCTTCCGTGAACTTAGTTTCTTTCATATTGCTATTGATATGCGTACTTCGATCCCATTGAGTTCTTAACTCGTTGGATGCGTGATAGTGTGCGTTTTATATTATGATTGCACGACAAGAATCGTACTATTATTTTCTCAATTGTCAATATCAGTCGATAGCTTTTATGGTTGAAGCTTCTTCCTTACTTGGAGATACCATTTTTTGGGTGCTTGTTTGTTGAACTTTAAAGAACGAAACTTAAGAACAACTATGCAGTGTTCTTCTAACTGTAACCACTCGACTGAGGTTTTTTAAGTGTGTTTTGGCACATAAGTCTGTTATTGGATGCGCCAAGAGAGCACAAGCCAAAAATGAACGCCATTCATGTTGATAGTTATCAACACATAAATAAATGAAACTGTCTTAGGTTTGTGCAATCTTCCCATTTCTGTATCCACCCAGGCAGAATTTGTATCGCCTGGAAGTTGATTGTACATTTGTATAACCAATAACTACAAAACGTAAGTAAAATAACTTTTATCATTATTATTATTTTATTCCGTGACATGTGCTTCAATGTTTCGTTTCACTTCCATTCCGTTGCCATTCACAGGATCAGCGTCAAATGGATTTACCATTATCCGCACCTTTTCTTTACCTACTCACTGAAGAGGGTAATCGAAAATCCCCAGCGAGCGTGAATACACCCGCAGACGAAGAAGATGCATGGCCATCAGATATACTTGATTTTCAGCATTTTGTTGAGATTTACCAAGAACGTGGACGATTTCTAAAGGATTTAATGATCTACTGTCGGGAAAAGAAGGCAATTAAGTTTGCCCCAGGCAGTGTGGAATACTTGAAAGCGGATTTACAGTTGCAACAACGCATTTTCTCATGTGACCTGGAGTCGTTGTGTATCACAATGACATTTGGTTCAGTGACTCAGGTTAGTGGAACAACAAGTGCATCGCAAAAACCAAACAACTATTCAAACCGCTTTGAACTAATTTATTCAAAAATTTGCCTAGTTGTACCAGCTCCAATGGATGGGGTAAAATGAGGGTAAATCTATTCTTTGTTTGAATGAAAGTTCATAGACATATATTTTCCTGATCTGAATCTGCTGCATTCTGCTTTATCGTCCAATATTTCCCTCGGCAAGGACCAATTCAGCTCTGAGGGAAATTGGAGTTTAGTTTTTTTTCAGAAATTTTTACCGTACAATCAAACTAAACACTACTTTTGTAGTAGTTAAAATCTGGACGAATCACGGACCACGAATCACCGTCGGAAGTGAGCCAAGGAATCGCATTAACAATCGTAGGCTGGGATCTCCCGTCACTGAGACGCGTGGTAAAAGGTCATAGAAGTAGCGATTCCTTTATTAAGGAGAACCAGTTGGATTAATTGATATGTACAAAGCAATGTCATCGCTTAAACAGGTCATCACCACTAGCCTGCTTGCGTTTTTTGACGTCATACAGCTTCCGTCTTGAATGCACAGCCTCTGATTGGTTGGCACTATTGGCCTGTGGTTTGTTATCCCAAAATTTTAACGCGTCGAACTGTGATTTGCGTTATCTCATGGGTTAGGGCCATCACACATTTTTGTTCCTGTCGGCATTTGATATTGAGAGGGCAATGTTCACTTTATTCACTTTCTTTCTATACCAGCCGAATTGGATACTGATGCAATCTACTAATGTTACCCATCAGCGTTTCGTAACATGATCTTGCCTTTCTATCTGACACTCAATCTGCTCCACATCAATTTTGGGAAGCATTAAATAGTTAAAGGTATTTTGTGAATGATTTCCCACAGACAAACTGGGTCGTAGTTGGCGGATGGTGATATGAAACGTTCACACTGCTCCATTCATTATAAACGGTCGGCCTTTGTCATGCATTTCTCACGGGATTATACAAACCTTTTGATGGTTCGCCGGTTCTATGTCGGACGCACTTGTGTCCCTCAGCCCGATGATCAAACCGTATTACGGTCACATTGCTGAATCCATCTAGAACTGCTACGTATTCCCGTGAGAGTTTATGATGGTTACGTGTGACGATTCATGAGTACACGTTTGTATAAGTTACCGGAAATATTTGCTTCCGTTTTATATGAAACGAGATCGACAGTTTACACTAGTCTGGTCTCAACAAAAACTAACTTAATTTAATAATCTTGCTACATAGTTTTTGACCCTGCGTGAACGAAAATCAGTCGCGGTTTTTTTGATTTGATATACGCATTGGAAACTCAACGATGCCTATATTGTTACCTTAATGAAATTATTATTATATTATTATATTTCACTCTTGTCTGAAGCCAGACTGTGTCAAGCAAATCATGGTACCAAAATCTTTATAAAAAAATAAAAACGTTCCATGATTGGCTTGTGGGCTGAATACTACC